GCGTGAGAATACAAGCTCACGGGTCTGTGTAAGGCCAATGAGTATAACTCAAGACCGCTGTCGAGGGATATCACCATCAATCTCCGAGTCTCGCCTTTTCATTGAGATCACTGCGCCCGCTAGGCGTTCGAAGCATGGCTCAAAAGTATGATAATCTGCTTGACACGCTGCTCCGTTCATCCCGAACCGCTTCGACTGTCGAGAAAACCGATGCTGTCAGTAGACTGGGAACCAGTCGTATCTGGGTACATCTTGTATGTTGACGCGCGATGAATAGGCACTCCTCGAACCCTTCACCTATCTTACCAATATGCCCGGCAAGGATATACGCGGCGCACTAATATCCGCCTTCAGTGCTTGGTTGAACGTGCCAGAGGATAAGCTTCAGATCATCCAACGCATGGTAGGGATGTTGCACAACGCCAGCCTTCTGTACGTAGCAGCCAAGTTCATTATGGCATGCTCGCTTACCCTCATGAACATAAGCATTGATGATATTGAGGACGATTCGCAACTCCGGCGCGGGCAGCCCGGTAAGCATCGATTCTAGCTCTATGGCAGATCTTGACGTTGACTCCTGTCCTGAAAGTCGCACATAAGATTTATGGAACGCCGCAAACGATCAACTGTGCGAACTATGTCTATTTCCTGGCTTATCAGGAGCTTTTCGCCTTGCGGTCACCGCCAGGACTGGGAGCACGGGATGTCCTATCAGCATCCGACCGACTGTATTCGGAAGCTGACCTTGATATGATTGTCACTGGTAAGAGCGTGGTCAGAGATTTCGTACATATACTAAGAGAGAGGGCTACTTACAGGCGAGCTACTCAACCTGCATCGGGGACAAGGTCAAGACCTGCTGTGGAGAGACTCTCTCATATGCCCTACTGAAGAAGAATACCTTGCTATGGTCCGCAATAGTACGTATAGAGCATAGTCAAGATGGACTACACTCAGGCGCCGCTTATCGTCGGTAGAAACCGGGGGGCTTTTTCGCATTGCGGTGAAGCTCATGATGTCCTGCGCAACGTCAAATGCTGACATGTATGTGCCGAGCAGTCGCGTGATCTGTAGATGATGTCCATCTGATTGAACCGCCCTTACAGAGACTATGTACCCCTAGTGGATCTTCTCGGGGTACTATTTCAGATCAGAGACGACTACATGAATCTCCAGGCAGACGACTACGCATCGAACAAGGGGTTTGCAGAGGACTTGACCGAGGGGAAGTTTTCTTTTCCGATAGTTCATGGCGTCAGACAACAGTCAGGCGACCGCCAACTCTTGAGTACAGCATCCATGCACTCTTCTCAGCCACCGTCTGACAGATACGTTCCAGACATTCTGCAGAAACGACCATCGACGCCTACCTTGAAAATCCATGCGATAAAGCACCTTCGCGAAAAGACGAAGTCTTTCGACTACACGCTCGAGGTTCTACGCATCATCGAGGAGCAAACGCGGGCCGAGATTACGCGGCTGGGTGGTAATTCCCGGCTCGAGGTCATCCTGGATATGCTCCATGTTGAACATCGTCCGGATAGAGTAGTTTGTGCACCTGGACTGTATCATGATTCGTCCTAGCAGTATGTCGATGAAGTAGACATTATGAGAACCCTCTCCCGTATGCAAACATGTTCGGAGATAGAGCGGGATACGCTGTGAAGGTATCTCTCTACAACCTGTAGCCTTCTGCCGCACTGCCAAAGTCTTTCAGATCAGATGATGGCGGCATAGAGGCATATCCAGGGGTGCTGCTTCGACCACACCCGAGCCGCGCCCATTCGTGACTGTACGAACCTCCCTACGTGGAATGAAGCTCGAGCGTACACTCTGTCAGAGCGTACCACTGTGGATAGACCGAACGACGGCTGAGCACGCTGGATGCCTTGTGATGCAATGGGTATTCTGATGGCTGGTCGTTATCGTTGACATCCAACAGATGCAGAGTATATTAGGATCGGAATGCCGTTGAGCTGGCGTAGAGGATCGAAAGCATCAGTCGCATGACGCGAAGTACCTCAAGATGCAACATAACGCACCCACCCGCAACTTGGCTGTATAGAACTTGGATCCACCTCATACACCCTTATCCATTTAATACCATCCAAGAAGAGTGGCAGAAATGAAGTCGATAGCAAAAAGTGAACATGGCATGAGTGGACGAAACGCCACACAGAGCCCTGAGGCGACCTGATGATGGTTTGAGACAACGCACGCCGACGTCTCGCGCGACGGGTACGCGCACCGAACCCGAACCACCACCATTTGCTCAGGCTTACTGGCACTATTGGTCGTAAGACCGTGGAGATGCCTATGGCTGGTGCCACTCACAGCTTACAAGCGTCTGATTCCTGTACAGCATATGACGCTGCAACAGTAGGGAGAAAACGAGTGCCATGGGCTGGATGCAAGCCGAGGAGGCTGGATGGAGCGGTGACCCCTATCCGCGCGGCGGCGAGCGCGGCCTGAGTACGTCTCCCCGTTGTTCCTACGTTTCCACCTCTCTACGAGCGCTACCGAGCTATGGACGCGACTACCCATATGCCTCGTGTAAGCTACATTGTCCAAGCGGCGGGGAGTCTGCGGCTGCCATAACGGCAGCTCGGCTCGAACGCACTGGCAGTTACCCCTTTGTCTCTCCCACATGGCTACCTCTCCTCGGGGGCTACCGAGCTATGGACGCGTCTCCCCATATGCATCGTGTGCCCCCCTCTGTCAAAACGGCGTAGAGTTTGCGGTTGCCCCATTGGCAACACGGCTCGTACGGATTGGCGGCTCTATTCAGCCCCACGACGCGTTATCGCAGTGTTCACTCCTCTGCTCGCTTACACAATACATATTGCCATTTTACGGTCGTACAGCTTTGGACTTGCTACTACGCCTCGCACCCTTAGCGCGTTGTTACACAATACTAGCCATACTTTCGCGATCGATGTAGTAAGGCGGCTTCACCGGCCCCTCACAGCTCTTCAGTATAGCGCCCTAAAATGTCGTTTGCCCCTGCCGCTCTCCGCTCGGCCTTGAGCAACTGTCACGCCACGCTGCGTAAGCACTGCCCGCACACGATGCAGATCAATACGTCCTCGCGTCTCTACCTGTTGCGGATAGGCTGGAACCGTAGGAAAACGCGCCCCCGCCCATGGTCCCGATGATGCCGTGAAGCTATCTCAAAAAGCGTATTCACAATACGCGTAAGGCGCTTGCGCGGTTGGTCGCCTGTGACTACCCGCTTACCTTGTAACGCCTACGCTACAGTGCTGACAATGAGATCTTGTAAATCACAGTCCCAGGGAATCTTAGCGGGCGCCGTTTTTACACGGTACCCATCGAGTCGCCGGAGCCCGCCCTGCTCATCTGCGCGAAATCCGAAGCTCTTCTCGCTGCTCGGGTCGCTTTCCTCATCGAAGCCACGAATATGTGGCAGGCTTTTGTACCGCCGACGGACGACGAGGACGCACTTCAGTCAGTACGCGAGCTTCTGAGCCATGACGCAGTTCTGGGCGCTTCGGGCTCGTTTGCCCACAAGTAATCCGCATCTACGACACGCATGTATTGGTCTTGCCGCCCGCATTCGCGCTGTGGCGAAAGATTCCTGCACTACCTGTATCGTGAATGAACAAGAGTGATAGAGGGGGATGTTGTTTTGCGTCGTGTTGACCCGCACAGTGGCGTGGCGTGTGCTTGTGGTCCTCGGTGGACGGATATGGGTGTAAACCCTTTCGTCAACTTACTATCGCAAGCATTATTGCTACCTCGCGCCGCAGGTATGATGCACGGCGTTCCGTCTGTACACACGTTAGGTCTAGACCGCTTGAGCGAAAGCAAGAAGGTGTATTCGGTCCTAGCGTGTCGCCAGGTGGTCGGGCAGCACGCGGATATCGCGTGCGATAAGCATCCCGAGATCCAGCCGGTCCTGTTATGGGACATCACGGTGGTCAACTACTACTACTACTACTACACGTGGATCGCAACCTTCATTTGGGTATGCAGATAATCGATGTAGGGAGTAAGGAACAAGTCTAGCTGCTGGACGCGTTCGCTCAGGCTTATTCGATACAAAGCAACTAGCGTAGATGCTCAATAAGTCGTTTGTAACGGATGGCGCGTGCTCTCCGGCGCGAAGCGCTTGATCGGCCGACGCCGCCGACTTCTCTCACGGCCTCATGAAGCTCCTATATATTTATGTCCGTATCAACCAGGACGATCAGAGGCGCATATAGTGTGACTATCCCAAGCAGTATGTGGACGACAAGATCGATTTCCTCCGTCCACTGGGCGAATCTCGGTGTTCATTCAGCCGCCAGTCTGTACCCATCCCGGTCCCACAGTGCCTTCGGTCCGTCCTCTGCAGCCCATCCCAACCGCTCCATCGAAAGCAACGCGCACCGCAGGAACAACGTCCCATCAAGCTTCTCAGATCCTACAAGTGCACCGCCATAAGCTCCACGCGGGCGTTGGCCATACCACGTATCCGCAGCACCGAGAGCGCGCACGAGCTTTGGCAGGTGCTCGTTGGGGTGCGATGCAGCGCTCGTGAAGAGGCGTGGCCACGCACGCGAACCCGCCGGCATCGTCTTTTGCTTGGACGGGTCGATAAACTCCCGCTTAGGCGGTGCACCGGGCGCATATGCGTGCGGTGGCGGAGGCGGTGAGAGAAGGGAGTCCGTAGCCTCGTACAGGGCAGGGATTGCGGCCGTGAATGAGGCGTGCGTTGGACGAGGGCGCGCAACAAACCAGACCGCGAGGCTGGAGAGGTACGCGCGGAGGAGAAGGAGTCGTGAATGGAGTGGAAGCGGTGGGTTGAGCGCCTGTGCGCGGGTACGCTCGGGGCGAAGGCAAAGGCTGGGAATGAAGTTGGCCGACGTTACGAAGTGCATCCTATGCGGCTGCATGTCAGAGCATGAAGGGAGCGAGTAAAGCGCATGACATACGTAAAGAAGTCCGCATTGAAGACCCTATCGCCTCTCGCA